ATTATTAATAATATATTTATTAATAATTTATATTCAAATAAAAAATAAGAGATAAAAAACTAAAAAAATAATAATTAATAATTTATATATATATATATATATATATATATATAAGGTAAAAAAAATGATTGGAATAGGGGTTAGGGGTACCTTTAGTACATCTTAGGGGTACCATTAGCCTTCCCGTTTTAGTATCGGGCTTTGGATCTAAAGCTTCGTTTTTTAGCATCCTTAGAATAAAGCTAATTCCTTAACATCTTTTAATCTTATGTGTTTTTTGTTATCAATTTAGAATATTTTTAGTTGAAGATATAAATTTTATAAAGTTTGATGGAGTTTTTTTTTCATGCAATTTCTAACATGAAAATCACTCTTTTAAAATGTGTGATATATGACAAAAAGTTTTGAGATATTATTTGAATAAAATAAACAGTGCATAAATTTTTGAAGTTAAAATTAGATCCCATTATTTACGTCATGATTTTAGACCATGGATTCTTGATACGACACCAAATGACCATCTTTGACTTTGTCATGTCTTGAACAATGAGGTATGGTGGAAACACATAACATTTTGTTCAACATGACAAAAAACTACCATTATTTCGATATCTTACAAACTTGTTGTCAGTCTAATAAAGTTCATATTCTTTAACTTCATAGATGTCATTCCCTTACCACTCAATAATATTGATCCTCTCTAAACTTCTCGAAAACATCATATATAATGATGAAGTTGTGTTTTTTGCAAGTATTCAAGAGTAACAATTACGACAAAGCACTTAATTGATTAATAATCACATTAGACAATAGACTTTTTTTTTTAAGAAAATCAATTGAAAGCAAACTAACAAAAAATAATAGAAAGATCTACAAAATGAAAAAGAAAATAATTTATGCTTAACAATTCGAAGATCAATTTAAAGAGGTTAAAAAATGAATGATGAATCAGTACACGATTTTTTCCAAAATAAAACATGCCTTATATATATTCAACAAAATTAATTGAGTAGCTCAACTGTTCACATTATGAATTTGCTCTTTATTATTTATCAGTCTGAGTTTCTATAAGAGCATTGAAGGTTTTCTCAAGTATCTAATAAAATTATGTGAGATTCATACAAACTGATATAAACATTTATGATTTTGTTATAATATTATGGTATATATCATATTTGATGCAAGTAGTTCATGCATAACAAAGACCACCTTAGATTTCAACCTTCAAATTTATTTAATCTTAGATTTCAACCTTCAAATTTATTTAATAACATTATTTTAATCTATTTCAATGTATTTAATCACCGACCCAAACATTTAATGTAGTAGATAAATATTGAGATGATAGCAAACCCTTTAATAATTTCTATACATTAATTTGATTAATGTTAAAAGACCTTTTTTTATTAAAAGGTATTTCATCTAATGATATTTTCATTAGAAAAATTCATGTGTTGTGAATGTAACTTTCTTAATTATAATAAACATACAATCGTTATGCACAAAAAACAAAATTATTTCGAATTTTCAATGAAACATGACTTAAAAGTCTAATTAATCTAACTAAAAAACCAATTGATATACTTATGAGTCTATAAGTTATTTGAGTTGAGTTATTTAAGGCGTAATCAAGTGTCTTTTCTTGTTTAACAAACAAAGAAAATAAGTAGACTGATCAAACACCACAATCAATCACTAAAATAATAATCTTATATATGCTTTGATGTCTATCTTAACTGATAAATAAATATCAAGTATTTGAGCTCCTCCTAATAAGTTGTTAGTTTGAGTCTCTACGTTCTAGTCTTGACTACTATCTTTAAAGCCTTAAATAATTAGTCAAAATATACACAAATTAACAAAAACAACCGCATTTAAAAAAGTGAAAACAATAACCATACATCACCACTACAACTCCATTACCATACTGTTTTTTCGATGAATTGAAAATAACACATCATTATTTGTAGTTTATTATATCAGATGAAATTATAAATACAGATAATTTCAATGTTATCATTTAACACCTCCTAATAAACCAATGTAATTTAAAATGTTGTTTAATCTAGCATCATGTATTGAAGCCGAACCGCAACTCTAGAAATGAAGTGGGTTTAGATGTTACTTTTGGTTCAAATAAATTTATTTTTTAAAAAGGGAAAAACTTAGGGGGAGGCTAATGGCACCCCTAGCCATTGCCATTGGCACCCCTAGTTAGGTTTTAAATAATTAGTTTTATGAGTTTTTGTGTTTTTTTTTGTCTTTTTGTTATTATTAGTTTTTATTTTATTATTATTTAAATGAAATTATTAATTAATATATATTATTTATTTT